GCGGGGGTGGCGCCCCCCCCCCCCGACGCTTATTAAGAAATGTCTGAGGGGGAGGGGGGGGTTCACTTTGCTCGGGAGCCCTCGATCGAAGTGAACCTTTCCGACGGCCCGAGACGGCCCAAGAGCCCCCGAAGATCGCCCAAGAGGCCTCCAGGATGGCCCCAAAGGCCCCCAACACGGCCCCAAGAGGGCCCAAAGACGGCCTAAGGTGCCCCCCCAGACGGCCCCAAGATGGCCTCCAAGACGGCCCTGGAGCACCCGAAGAGGGAGGGCCCCAAGTCGGCCCAGAGAGGCCCCCATGACGGCTTCCGACGGCGTTAGACGGGCCAGGAGCCCACCAAGACGGCCCAATATGGCCTTAAGATTACCCAAGATGCCCGAAGAGGCCAAAATCATTGACTTCCCATATGTTGTTTAGGAGTTTGGCATTTGCTTCTTTTCGGCCTACCGACGGCCCGAGACGGCCCAAGAGCCCCAAAGATCGCCCCAAGATTGCTCAAGAGGCCTCCAGGATGGCCCCAGGACGTCCCAAGAGGCCCCCAAGGCGGCCCCAAGAGGGCCCCAAGACGGCCCACGAAGCCTCCAAGACGCCCAAGATGGCCTCCAAGACGGCCCTGGAGCACCCCAAGAGGGCCCCAAGTCGGCCCAGAGAGGCCTCCAGGACGGCTTCCGACGGCGTCAGACGGGCCAGGAGCCCACCAAGACCGCCAAATAGGCCCCCGAGAAGCCCCCGGAGGCCCCAAAGAGGCCCAATGAGGCACCCAAGATGCCTCCAAGAGGCTCCCAGTAAGCTCCCAGGAGGCCCCAAGGGTGTCCCCAGAGGCTCCCAAGATGCCCCTCCTCATCCTCCTCCACCTCCTCCGCCTCCTCCTGATTCTTCCCGTCATCCTCCCCCAAGTGTTCTCCGAAGGGTTTCCAACGCTTGGGGGAACACATGGTCAGATAGCTTGGCAGACCTCTTGCCACAAAGCTCGGTCACATGGGCGATTCTAGAAGGCAAGGTGCGGCGGTGATTCGCCGTAGGCATCTTCGATACCTACATTCAACGACCAACATGTATGCGCGTTGATCCCTCCTGCTGGGGCTTTCGCCTCCCCATGCGCTGACACAGCCCCGCGATGCCGGCGGTCCTGCGTTCCCGGTCCGCCAGGGAGAAGGCACCATGGCGGATGTGGAAGAAACTCACCCACGTTCATATCGCCCCCATTGCTTCCTCCTCCTCACCCTCCTCCTCCTCCTCCTCCTCCTCCTCCTTCTCCTCCTCCTCCTCATCCTCCTCCTCACCCTTCCCTGCCCGCCTCTTTCTCCATTCCTCTTCCTCCTTCCTTCTCCGTCCTTGCCCTCCTCCCTTCCTCGCCCCCCTCCCTTCTGCTACCCCATCCCCTTTTGCGCTTGGATGCCCCAGCGTCTATGTTTTTTCCAGGCTCTTCTCACCCAGCGGCATTATCCGCCGCGCGTCGCGTGAATTGCAAGCTCAAACATCGAGGCGACGTCTTCCGTCACCACCCTGTCTCCTCCTACTCCTCTCATTTCTAATCATCCCTCGACCTCTGCTTCCCACCTTTCCCTCCCCAGTGATGTGTAGCTTCGCTCTGTCATCCCAAGCTTCTCCATCTTCCTGCGCATCTCGGTAAGGTGTAGAGTTGTCATTGCAAGACTCCTTCGGCCGTTGGTGAATTGGCCTTCCACCATTCAGGGACCAGCCACCCTGTAAGGCTGCGTAACCCGCCAGTCTCCTCTTCTTTCTCCTCCTCCTCCTCCTCCTCCTCGCCCACATCCTCTTGCTCTCTCTCTCTCTCTCTATCTTTCCATCTATTCCTCCCTACAAGGTTCCCCGAATATTTTGCGCAACGGCTGGGGGGGCACATCGCACGATAGCTTGGTTCGTCGCTGGCGTCTGCGATACCACCCCCTGGGCTCCCCTAGCCTTGTCACTTCGTGCAGTCCGCACGTTTCCTGCACTAGGCTGCAAGCGAGGAGGGAAAAGTGCGTGCACTTGTTTGTCTATTATCCCCACGCTCAACGGGAGCAGTGCGACGTACAAGACAGGAGGATCACGCCGCTGCGAGCACTGTGCCAGGGTGAAGCAGCGTGCCACAGGCCAACTGCGGCGCAGCGTTCCAGTCGATGTTGAAGACGGTGATGAAGTTGGCGAGTGTCCAGCCGAATACCGAGGTCGCCGCCAGCGGACGCGTTAACCTTCTCGACTGCGAGCTGTCCGCTTCGGGGGACAAGAGGAGGTACAGGAGCCCACCGGCGGCACAGCCTCCCATATGGCACCAACGATCCATGCCTTTGTCAATGAAGAAGGTCGGAATCACCAGCGCATAGACCAGCACCCTGCCCTGCCGCGCCACAGGATCGATCGAGTGCCACCTCGTCATCAGCTGGAGCATGGACGCCCCTAGCATGGCAAAGGCCGAGCCCGACGCGCCCACCGAAAGCTTAAAGGGGTCCATCGCGGCCGAGAACAGGTTGCCCAGCACCCCAGACACGAGGTAAAGCGCGTAGAAGCGGCCGCTCCCGAGCTCCCCCTCCACTGCGAAGCCCAGACGGCACTGGAAGATGATGTTCAGGGGAATCAAGAATGACATGAACATAAAGACTCGGAGGTCCGCGCGGATTTCTCGGATCGGCGCTGGACCCCCTTGGCTGCGCCCGCGGCGTCGCCCCTGGCGCGCTCCGCGCGCCAGGGAGGGGGGCCCCAGCGCAGATCCGAGAAACCCGCGCGGACCTCTTCAGCGTTTTTGTTTTTGTTTTCGGCGCTTCGACGTTGGAAGGAGGGGGGGGAGGGACGGGGGGGGGTATGGCTCCAGACCTCGGCTTAGTGCGGCCGTTTGCAGCAGTGCGCCCATTCTTGGGGGGGAGGCGAGGCTGCTCCTGCCTGAAACTGGCGCCGAAGACAGCCAAGGTCTACTCCATAAGGGGGGGGGGGAGCGGAGGGGAGGGGGGGGGGCGCGAGGGCCCGCGCCGATCGGCAGAGCAAGGAATGAAAACCCGACCGCCTCCGAGGTGTTATGTCTGTGCCAGCCTTCGCTCCCCCGGCTGTTGCTGAGCAGGTGCTGCAGGCTGCCGTGCAGGAAGATCTGCCCGACCAGCCGCCACCACCCCCCGTGGGCCATGGCCGGGGCCCACGCCGCTCCCATGCGTCGAGTAGGGCACCGGCAACGGCACTGATGCACACCAGACATAGCTTCCTCGCCGAACCTGCGAAGCTTCTCAACCAACAAAGGCAACAAGTACGGAACTCAGTCACAGCAGAAATGCGCCGAACTCTCAGCAGAGTTGCACACAGTCTACGCAGTCGTCGTACATTCGACGGGGGAACTCAATCTTGGGGTACATCAATGTTGTAGCCGTTGCCCTACCCGAATGTGATAGAGGGTGCAGAGCCCCACAGAGTCGCCGACCCCGGCCCCGACCGCCAGCGAGATCCCGAAGCCCAGGCACTGCAGGAGGCTCAAGGTCCCGAGCGCGGACCGCACGCCCAGGTAGCCCGGGAATATGATGCTGAGCATCGAGCGGTCGGGCTCCTCGCCCTCCTCCGCCTCCTCCTCCTCTTGGCACGCCCAAGGTGGGCACGGGGAACCTGGGGACGACGGCCAGCAGGAGCCGCTGTCCAACACCGACAGCGCCCACGGTTCGGCAGGCGAGCTTGTGTCCCAAATGGACAAGAGCCCGCGGCGACACAGACAGCGGATCCAATTCAAAATGGGCAGAAACTTTGAGAACGAACCGACTGTCCCAACATTCCGATAGGCCTACCGTGACATGTTCCAAGAAGAAGACCAAGTTCTCATACCCTAACAACTAAGCAATCAAACAATACATTGTCCCAACCGTTCACGCTCTAAGAACACGTTCCGCAAACCGCATGACGTCTTTGGAACATTCTTCGGAGGGCCTGTGCTAGAGGCCTCCTAGGCGGGGTCCGACCAGATCTGAGTAGATGGGATCGGAGGTTCGCGCCGCATCGTTTATGTATCAGCGACGTCGATGCATCGGCGCCACTGGCGTGGGAGAAGCTCTGCCTTCGCATCAAGCCGCATCGTCGATGCGGCGCGATCCTTCGATCCCCATCTGCTCGGACCCAATCTGGGAGGCCTCGATGCACGCAGGTCGGGCCGCTTCGCCACTGCTCGAAAACTGCTGGTGGGTGTCGCCCCCCATCCTGCGAGGTGGGGATTAATCCATATCCACCGCCTGGGATCCGACGTCCTGGTGCCCCGGCGGGCGGCTGATAATTATGACTATATATATATATATATGTATATGTGTATATATGCGTTTATTTAAGAATATATGTACACATATAGGTTTATATATGAACTTATATATGCTTATATTTGCATATATATATATATATGTTTACATATGTCAATATATATATATATATATATATATATTATATATATATATATATATATATAAAGTATTGGCCCCGGGGGGCCAATATATCCATACCCCCCGCCTGCGGAGGTCCGCGAAGATGGATGCCCCAGGCGGTGATTATCTTGTGGTGCGCACGGGGGTAGGGGGCGGGGGGAAGGCTTCTTAGATAGGGGCCACACGCGAACCCTACCCCCACGATTTGAAGGGGAGGGTGGGTTTCACTTCATTCGGGAGCTCCCGAGCGAAGTGAACCCCACCCTCCCACTCGGAAATCGTGGGGGGTAGGGGTAGGGTTCGCGTGTGGCCCCCTATTAGAAGGAGGCTGCTTCTGAGGAGGCGCTGGCCCTGCATCTACAGGCAGGGCCCGCGCCTTCCAAGAAGCAGGGGTGCTCCCGAGACAAGCCCTCCCCCCTCTCGGGTCGGGCGAAAGGGGGGGATAGCAAAGGGGGGGTTTGAGAATCAGCTCACGCAGCCGACTTTCCCGGCGCCGGAGGCGCCCATGTATCGAGGAATGGGCCCGACGGCGGGGCCGAAACCAGCTGCATGCAGCAGATTTCGTAACCCCCCCTTTCCCAATCCCCCCCTTCCGCCCGGCCCGACCCTCCCCCCTATACGTAAGCCCGCGCCTCGGAAATCTCTCCGTGCCCACTTCGGTCGCACCGATCCTCCTCCGCCGCCTCCGGGCGGCGGCGGCCGCCCCCGTGCGCCAGCGCCGCCGAGGCCGGCAGCGCGGACGCGTCCGCCGTGCGCACCGCCCCGTCCTTACAGGGCAGTTTTTTATACATAGGATCTTTTTAACACGCATTGAAGGAATAAAAAACGACCCTACCCTGGGTTACAAGTGCGTGGTCTGTAAACCTCCTGGGAACCCCCAAAGCCTAGAGCCGCCAGGACGCGGCACATCACGCAGGGTTTACCCTGTCAGCCCACAGGAGTTTCAGAGCACAGCGCCTCGTAAACCAGGGTAGGGGCGTTTTTTCTGCCCTTGAACGTAGGAATTTTGATTCATGATTGATTGATGAATAAATTTATGCATGAACTCATCGTTGTTTAAATCACTGCACGTTGTAATACGTGATCCGCACGCGGAGCATGTATTAAAACGGCACTGTAGCGCCAGGAAGCTGCAGCAACACGTGCAGCATCGCAGCAGAGCCACGACTGGAGCCCCGGACCCCATCCCACTGCGGCAGGAGGAAGAGGAGCAGGAGGAGGAGCAAGAAGAGGAGGAGGCGGAGCACCAAACAGGTGCCGGTCACCGATGCAGAGGAGAGAGAGAGAGAGAGGGAGGGCGGGGGTGCAGCGGCATGCGTGGCGGGCAGACCGAGCGCGGCAGGCAGGCAAGCGGAGGGGGGCGGCCGTGGTCGGCGGCCAGGGCAGCTGCGGGTCGTCGTCGTCGTCGTCGTCGCCGTCGCCGTCGCCGTCGCAGTCGCCGTCGCCGTCGCCGTCGCCGTCGCCGTCGCCGTCGCCGTCGCCGTCGTCGTCGTCGTCGTCGTCGTCGTCGTCGTCGTCGTCGTCGTCCAGGGTCGGCGGCAGAGGCTGTAAGGCCTCTCCAATGTGCAACGTCGCAAAAGACTCACGACTGGAGCCCTGGACCCTATCCCTCTGCGGCCTTTTACAGGACAGATCGACCTGTGATGGTCCTGGGCTCCCAAAATCGGTCGACAACGCCACATCGATCTGCGACGGCCCCGGAGCCTGGCCGGCGAACGCGCCCAGCCTGACACCATTGTGAGCGTTTTTTCTTATTCGGCATTTCGACAGTGGGCGGAGAGGGGGGGGAGGAGAGGGGTCTGGCTCCAGACCTCGGCTTGGTGTGACTGTTTGCGCCAGTGCGCCCATCATGGGGGAGACTCCACCTGCTTCAAAAACAGGCGCCAAACACAGGCACGATCTGCTCCGTTGGGGGGGGAGGGGGGTGTGCGAGGGCCCGCGCCGATCGGCAAAACAATGGATAAAAAACGATCACATTTGCACAGCCCAGATCCGAGGGCCTCCGGGGGCGCGTCCGTCGTGCGCCCGGCGTCGGGCGCGGCCAGATCTCCCCCGGCGGCCAGGAGGGCCGGCGCGGTGGCCAGGGCGAGCCCGGGCACGTCGGCGACGCCGCCCAGGGAGGCTCGGCGGTTCAAGGGTGGGATCCTGAGGGGTGGGGTGCTCAGGATGGGGAGGGGTCGACGGGTGCTTGACACTGTTTGAAGCACCTCGTCCTCAGGACCCCATGATTGCACCGTCGAGAGGTGACGAGGGCGCCAGCGGCCAGCCCGGCCCCGAACGTCTCCAGGAGGTCCGCGCCGATCTCCCAGGCGGCCTGCGCGGCGCCCGAGGCCCTCGCGCCGCTGCCAGCGCCCCCGCCGCACAGCTCCCAAAGGCCCAGGGCGTCCTCTCGCGCGCGGCCTGGCCGACCCCTAGCAAGCCACCCCCCCTTCCGTGCCGCCGCCCTCGCCTGTCAAACTTCCCTCCGGCCGCACACCTTCGCCTCGGGGCGAGGCACGGGGCACGTCACGGAAGGAGACGGTTTGCGAGGGGTCGGTTAGGCCGCCACTGAGGGTGGCACGCCAGGTCTGCGAAGAAGGCATGTAGGAAGCAGCATCGTAGTTAGCAGCGCATGGTGAGGGGCAACATCAACGCAGCGTGCACCCGAACCGTAAGCATTTTGTCCTGTGAGCCGCCTCGCGCGGCGTGCGTCGCAGCCACCGTGCTTTTAGCCTGGATCGTAATAAACCAGTGTATGTGGAACAAAATCAGTGTATGTGTGTGTGTGTGTGTGTGTGTGTGTTTTAGACAATGTATTGTTTCCATATTGCTTGTTGTGGTTATTTTGTGTGTATGTATGCGTGTGCTTGTGTGTGTGTGCGTGTGTGTGTGTGTGTGCGTGCGTGCGTGCGTGCGTGCGTGCGTGCGTGCGTGCGTGCGTGCGTGCGTGCGTGCGTGCGGGTGGGTGGGTGCGTGCGTGCGTGCGTGCGTGCGTGCGTGCGTGCGTGCGTGCGTGCGCGCGCGCGTGCGTGCGTGCGTGTTCATGTGTGTATATGTGTGTGTGTGTGTGTTTCCACCGTGATCTTGTGTGTATCCACCGATGGGATGGTCTGCGAGGGGTCGGTTGGCCCGCCCCTGATCCTCGCACAACTCCCAAAGGCAGCCGGTGCGCGGCGTCCGGGGCGCCACCGCGTCCAGCAGTTCGAGCCAGGGCGCAGCGGCACCGGTCCCGCCCTGCGGCGGGCCCTGGCCTTCGCGCCAGGCCCGGCCCCAAGCCGCGGAGGCGTCGCTCATGGCACCCGCGGCGCGCGCCCGTCGACGATCCTCAGAACGCGTGGTAGCCCCAACGTGTTTGTCGATCGAGGCTCTTCGATACGACGCAGGCGAGGAAATGATCTACTGGTTAATCCAATAGCCCTTATAACGGCGACGATGGAACACAGTGCCGGGGAACTGCTTTGAACATCACCAGTCGTTCAAAGCAGTGCCCCGGCACTGCTTTGAACGATGCGGAAATGCGATCAGCAGGAGCCTTCGTCTGTTCCTTCTCCTCTTCTCGTCGCTGTATGCTCTTCCTTGTCCTCCCTCCTCCCCCGTTCCCTCTCTAATTAATTACCTCGTTCTCCCAGTCTCACGCGCACTCTTCCTCCCCCCTCTCCTCCTCCTCTTCCTGCTTCTCCTCCTCGTCCTCCTCCTCCTCCGCCTCCTCCCCCTCATTTGTTATATTTCTCCGTCCTTGTCCTCCTGTCCCCGTTCTCCTTCTCCCTCTCCTCCTCCTCCTCCTCCTCGTCGTCGTCGTCCTCCTCCTCTCCTCCTCCTCCTCCTCCTCCTCCTCCTCTTCCTCCTCCTCCTCCTCCTCCTCCTCCTCCTCCACCTTCTTCCTCCTCCTCCTCCTCCCCCTTTTCCTCTCCCTCCTCCTCCTCCTCCTCCTCCTCCCCCTTCCCCCTCTTCCTCCTCTGCTATCACTCCTCCATAATTCCTGTCCGCTCCTCCCCTTCACTGATCTTCCTCTTCGTCATCATCATCCCTTTCGTCGCACGCCTCTTAATCCTCAATCGGTTCCCAATCTTCTCGACTTTCTTGTCATCCGCGTCCTTGGCTGTTGGAGGGGCCTCAGGAATTCTCAGGGCTCTTGTGTTGCACGCGAAGGCACACCTCCCAGGAACGCATCATCCTCCTCACATTCACCCTCCTCCTCCTCATCCTCCTCCTCCATGCACGTTCGGCTCAAGCCCGCGCCGACGGTAGGTTTCACGGCGGTTGGGCGGGCTCGCGCCCGCCTCCGCGGCCTGCAGTCGGGGCAGAGATGCGTGCAGGGTGGGATGACAAAGCGGAAGAGGAAACACGGGCCGCAGTTGCGGATTCTTCAAAGAGCAGCGGCGGCGGTTGGGGAACAAGTGGGGGTTGGGGCGGCCGCAGTGGCGGATACGGCGGCGGAGGTGACCGCAGTGGCGGCTGGGGCGGCGGAGATTCTCTTGGCGGATGGAGAGGAAAAGCGCAGGATGGCGGCGACGGAAGTGACCGCAGTCGCGGATGGGAGGGCGGCGGATGGGGCGGCAACGGATGCGAGGGTTGGGGAATGGAGGGCGCCCGCTGGTGGGACGACGAGGGTGGCTGGTGGAATGCATGGGAAGGTGGCCGCTCGAGTGCCTCGGCAGGTTCTCCTGCCGCGGAGCCCGCGGCCGCAACAGCGGCGGGCAAAGGAGGCGGTCCCCTGCTTCCCCCAGGGCGCGAAGAACAAGGCGCAGTTGCGCTGTTTCAAATTGTGCGCAATGAGCCGCTGCCAATTTTCAAGTTGGAATTCTTCGAGAACTTCAGGGCGAACTGGAACGGCAATTATAAGCAGCACAACGCGGCCTTGAAGTGGTTCCGAGACGAGTACGAAGACCGAGAAAACCCTTTCGGCAGCCGCACGCCCGTCTTCGGAGGTACCGCAGTTGCGGAGGAAATTTCGAAGATCCTTAAGTACCGCGCAAAGGGGAAGGCGCAGGACAACAGGGATTGGGACTGGGACCACACTGTCAAAGTGCCGTGGTCTTGGCTGGAGATGGTCGCGCAGATGGATGGACCTACAATGCTGCGCGTCGTGTGCGGCCCTGACAATGACCGCAGTCGCGGGTTGGTCCGCTGCGAGTGCCGCCCGTGCCCTAGCAGTCTCGACAACATGAGGCACACGAAAGGGGTGGACAGAGGACAGGCGCAAAGAATCCCTCTGCCCCAGTGGGATTTCGTCCTCATCCGCGACGACGGCTCGGGCATTCGCGTCCACCCATCCTGGTCTAGCCCGAAGTTCAACACGTATGAGGTGGAGCCGCACTCGCATCCCGTGCGGGGCCCGAGGGCAGGTCTCGGCAAGAGCGATGGCCACGGAACGTTCACGTTCTGGAAGATGCTGCACGCCCATCCGAATCCTGGGCGGTTCGACGCGAGCAAGGGGGCGCATCTGCAACCGCGGTGGTCCGCGCAGCCTTGACACCGCAGTTGCGGGATTGCGCAGCCATGGAACCGCAGTTGCGGAAACCGATCGCGTGACGCCGCGCTCGTTTGACTCACTATGCGCGCTTTCGGCCGCAGTTGCGGCGCTGCCTTCTAGCGACTTCATACAGCTTGGCCGCAGTTGCGGCGCTCCCACGACTGACCGCTGTAATTAGGTGCTTCGGGCGCGCATCACCTCCGTTGAAGCACTCGTGACGTTAAGTAGCGCGGCCGCAGTTGCGGAGACAGGTACTTAAACAGATGGATCCGCAGTTGTTCGTCGTCCTCGTATCCCCTTCCCCGTCGTCCTCGTCGCAGTCTCCTCCCTCCGCCTTTCCTCCTCGTCGCAGTTCCTTCCGTTGGCCGTAGCCCGCCTCCGTTGGCCGAGTCATTTCCCGTCGTCCTCGTCGCTTTCCCCCCCGAGGGCCGCAGTTGCGGACTTTGTTGATTCCTCCTCCTCCGTTTCTTGCCCGTCATCCTCGTCGCAGCCCCCTTGCTCCTTTCACCCTCGTCTGAGCTCTTCGCGCCATCCTCTTCCGTCGCGTCCTCTCCATCCTCCTCTTCGCCTTCCTCGTCCTCATCCCCGCCGTCTCCCTCGTTGCCGTTCCTCTCCCAAGCCGGCCGCAGTTCCCCCGTCGGACGGGGGCCGCGCGCGGCCACGCCATGGACCCAGCTCGCAAAGCCGAGGTCGACAAGCGGTTCGCCGAGCTGAAGCAGCAACTGCGGGAAAGGCTCGGCGCGCAAGGGGCTGCCGCGGATGCCGCAGTCGCGGAGCCGACGGGGGACCGCAGTAGCGGAAGCCCCGAGCGACCGCCGCGCGAGGCCTCCCCGCAGTCGTCTAGCTCCTCGCGGTCGGCCATCGAATATCGGCCGCCGCCGCCGATAAGCGCTGCGAGTGGGAGCTCTGCTGGTGGGAGGCGCGAAGAGGCGCAGTTGCGCAGGGCGCACTTGACCCCCAAGGCAAAATGGGGGCCTCGGGCGCAGACGCCGACGAAGCAGCAGGACCAACCAGCAGTGACGGGAGCCGCCACCGAGACCGCAGTTGCGGGGGTGGCCGGCGAGCCAGGTGCCGCGCGCGGCTCATCTGGGAGCAGCGCGCCCTCGGCCGTGCTGCTCGCAGCCGAGTCCAAACGAGGCGCCCAACCCGAAGACGAGGCCGCCTCCCAGGAGAAAGCCGCCGAGACAACCGCCTCGGCCGATTCGCGGCCGAGGAAAAGGCCGCCTCCCACGGAAGACTCGCCGCTGTCAGAACCGCAGTCGCGGGGTCGCGCGGGGCCTCCGTCGGAACCGCAGTTGCGGGAAGATGCGGGAGCACCGCGGAAGAAGCAGCGGACCAGGTCCCCTCCAGGGATAAACTACTTTGGGGAACGCCCCAAGTGGAACGAAGGATTCCTTCGTACAGCAGACGGCAATCGGGTTCCGTCCACCATCGCTTTGGTGTTCAACGTGGTGGTCATCACGAAGGTGGCAACAAAGGAAGATGTCTTCAGGTGCATCTTGCACCAAACTGCGGCGGTCGTCTTCGTCGTATGGGACCCCGAGCTGTTCCGCACGGGGAACGTCGAAGGCGCTTGCAGCTACGACGTTCGCGTTGGACTCAGGAGTGCCATCGACAACGCTGTCACTATGAAAAACGCCTCCGAGGAGCCTTACTGGACGACGGTTCCCCTGTTCAGAGAGACGGGCCTGGTGCTCGTGCGCCCGCACATCATCGCAGAGACCGCAGTTGCGGGTCATGTTCATGGGGCCACCCACGCCGTCACGATCCTGAGCTTTCGCCTGAAGGGCTCCGAGATGAATCCTGCCGCGGTGATCCGTTTTGCCGTCGTGTCCAGACACGCAGTCACCGAACGTCTCCAACACAAGATCACGCAAACAGAACAACAAGCGTGGCATCCAGCTTTCTTCAAGGACGCGGTTGCTGCCATCCATAAAAATGATGTGCGGTTCTTGTGCGGCCTGTTTGACATCCCGCCTGAGCAGCTCGCAGCATTGGGCCGCAGTTGCGGAGCCAGCTGCACCTGCCCGGTGGGGGTGGTGTTCAGGGCTGGACCCGCCCTGTTCGGAGGCATTGTGAAGGGCACACGCGTCATGCATCCGAATTACGTCCTCCCCATTGGCCCGTGCGACGTGCGCATTGCGGACTACAACATTGATTTTGCAGGGAGGCCGTCGAAGAACGATCCCCAGTGGCTCCCTGATTGGATGCATCGAACAAGCGACTCCATCATCTCTCGGCGCTGGGTCCCAGCGAAGTACATGCCCAAGTGGGAGGATGACCCTGACCGCAGTAGCGGAGTCAGAGAAAAGCTCGGCTTGGCAGCGCTGCCCCCAATCGGCAAGGTCATTCAGAAGGAGCTCAACGAGAAGACCTTCAGCACGCACTGGTGCGAGGGCATCCACCAAAACATCGTCTTCGTCGGCCACGGACGCGCAAGTCGGGCGAGCAAGCGGAAGCACGAAGAGGCGCGATCTGCCGCAGTTGCGGACGAGCGGTGAGTGCGGCAAGACCGAGGAGCCGCAGTTGCGGAACAGAGCTCGGTACTAATTACTGGGCGCCTGCTGCCTGCGTAGTGCATCCCAGTGTAGGATAGCCCGCAGTTGCGGTGTTGCGGTTGCGGTGTAGGATAGCCCGCAGTTGCGGGGTTGCGGTTGCGAAGCCGCAGTTGCGGTTGCGTATAATAGGAGAGCACGCGGTTGCGAAGCCGCAGTTTGCAATAAGTGTGCGCGCGCTGGGTCATCATCATCGTCGTCGTCCGTCCTCGTCGTCGTCGCTGCCGTCGTCGTCGTCGCGTCTGTCGTCTGTCGTCAGCAGTCGTCGTCGGTCGTCGTCGTCGTCAAGTCTGTCGTCTGTCGTCAGCAGTCGTCGTCGTCGTCGTCCCTCCTCCCTCCTCCCTCCCTCCTCCCTCCTCCCTCCTCCCTCCTCCCTCCTCGTCCTCCTCCAGGCCGCATCCC